TATCGGAAGTGAAAAAGTGGTATCGGGACATCCCTAGTTCATATGAAGTTCAACAAGAGTCAGACCAATGTTGTCTAAAACTAATCAATAATTATCAATATTGACCAATATAAAACACTTGTCTTGATAGGTTTTTCAGCCATATCACCTAGCTCTAAGTTGGTAAGTGCCTACATTATATAGCAGTTCTGTTGCAGATAAGTCGACATAATAGTTCAGAAAATGACAGAAAATAGAGAAAACTGAACAGGCTGAAATATATGACCCAAACAGAATATAAAGATGTATGCAGGAGAGATTAAATTCAACTTTTCTGCACTCTTAGAGACTCTAATGCATTTAAAAGCTAAGAAACTGGATTTTGCATATGTAGAGAGAGGGTCCTGCTTATTTCCCTGAGACATGAAATATTTGACAAAGAAGAAACTATTTTTAGTTTATTCTTTATAATCCAACTTAGTTTTTTATATCTCCTCATTTCTTTTTGCATTCAGCTTTTCCTCCTGTAAAAACGTCTCTTTCTGAATGTCTTCTTTGCAAACTATTTTAAAGCAGCAGCTAATGAGCAAACTTTATCCCAAACAAGGCAAGCCTGGTGAAACTTCATTTCATTATTTTCTGCCGGATGCGAGGAAGGAGAATGCGGTTGTTTGTGTGAATTCATGACTCTGACCTGAATGTGTCTGACCTGGTTATTGAGTCTTGGCAAATTGTATTGTTTTCCCACTGCTTTTGTGCACACATGGACAAACAGTCAAGCAGCTGTATGAGAAACCTGGTTTCATTTCTGTTGGTAACAAACTGTTTAACATGAATTTTTAATGAGGGCTTTTAAGGCATTTTATTATGGATTGTGCCTGTTTATTATTACCCCTTACAAAAGTGAGAGTGAATATGTTTCAACCTGTTTTTGTTTGCTGGTCGGTATGTTTGTCAGTCTCCTACTGAAATATTTAGTGAATTTTAACGAGTCTCTCAGAAATTAATCAGCAAGTGAACATCTTCAACTGATTGACTTTTGGTATCAACTCCAACTAAAGAGGACTGCCACAGCCAAGCAACCATAGCACATGAATGGCTGAAACTCAGCCAGGGTTACCAAAATAGCATTAACTTTGGCATGAATGGCAGTGGATGGTATGCATTCCTTCAAGGTAGGCCTATAGTTTTCAAGATTTACTAACACTTGTTCATTCTTCATTAGCTCTACAAGAAAAGTTTAAATTCCTCATGCCTTAAAGGGTTTAATTGCTACTTGTTTTACTTTCCGTTTCACAGCTTTCTTTATTTTTGGACATCAGTGGGAGCGGCTATGATCATCAGCAGATCTGCCTGCTGGGCTTCGTTTTTTAATTTGAGTTCAAGACTTGACACGTAACATTGTTTTGTAGCACACGAACTAACAATTTAGTCTGCAGGGGTAGACATACTGTAAGGAAATTTTTCAGGTTGTCCAGCGGACAAACTGTTGAAAAACCTGGTTGTCTGCATAACATTTTGGTTGCCCAAAATAATCTCAAGTAAATTGTAATGTAACAAGTATATTGTTCTGTAGACGAAGTTTATTATTTATAATTGTTCTCAGTCAGCCAGGTTGACAGGATCTGCAT